ATAACGTGTGGGACTGTGCAAATAACGTGTGGGACTGTGCAAATAACGTGTGGGACTGCAAATAACAGGTGGGGTTGTGTGTATAATGTGTGGGACTGTGCAAATAATGTGTGGAACTGTGCAAATAATGTGTGGGACTGCAAATAACGTGTGGGACTGTGCAAATAACGTGTGGGACTGTGCAAATAACGTGTGGGACTGTGCAAATGATGTGTGGGACTGTGCAAATAACGTGTGGGACTGCAAATAACGTGTTGGACTGTGCAAATAGCGTGTGGTACTGTGCAAATAACGTGTGGAACTATGATAATAACGTGTGGGACTGTGCAAATAACGTGTGGGACTGTGCAAATAACGTGTGGGACTATGAAAATAATGTGTGGGACTGCAAATAATGTGTGGGACTGTGCAAATAACGTGTGGGACTGTGCGAATAATGTGTGGGACTGTACAAATAACGTGTGGGACTGCAAATAACAAGTGGGGTTGTGTGTATAATGTGTGGGACTGTGCAAATAATGTGTGGGACTGTGCAAATAACGTGTGGGACTGTGCAAATGATGTGTGGGACTGTGCAAATAACGTGTGGGACTGCAAATAACGTGTGGGACTGTGCAAATAGCGTGTGGGACTGTGCAAATAGCGTGTGGGACTGTGCAAATAGCGTGTCGGACTGTGCAAATAACGTGTGGAACTATGATAATAACGTGTGGGACTGTGCAAATAACGTGTGGGACTATGAAAATAATGTGTGGGACTGCAAATAATGTGTGGGACTGTGCAAATAACGTGTGGGACTGTGCGAATAATGTGTGGGACTGTGCAAATAACGTGTGGGACTGCAAATAACAGGTGGGGTTGTGTGTATAATGTGTGGGACTGTGCAAATAATGTGTGGGACTGTGCAAATAATGTGTGGGACTGTGCAAATAATGTGTGGGACTGCAAATAACGTGTGGGACTGTGCAAATAACGTGTGGGACTGTGCAAATAACGTGTGGGACTGTGCAAATAACGTGTGGGACTGTGCAAATAACAGGTGGGGTTGTGTGGACGGTGCTGGTAACGTGGAGGACGGTGTCGATAATGTGTGGGATGGTGCCGGTAACGTGTGGGCCTGTGCCGATCATGTGTGGGCCTGTACCAGAAATGTGTGGGACTGTGCCGATAATGTGTGGGACTCTGCCATTAATGTGTGGGACTGTGCAGGTAATGTGTGGGACTGTGCAGGTAATGTGTTGGACTGTGCAGGTAATGTGTGGGACTGTGCTGGTAATGTGTGGGACAGTGCCAGAAACATGTGGAACTGTGCCAGAATGTGCTATTAATGTGGGAGATTCTGACAGTGTGTTTCAAAGTATGCATTTGAATCCCAAAGTATAGAGATGTCATATTATCATATTCTCGACCGTGTGACGTTTG